GGCTTATGCTGGTCATGTACTGTTTACTAAGGTGGCCAGGTTCCCTCCCTAAAAGGTCTTCACAGAGGACGATGGAATAGTCTCTATATATTTCGGTGTACTACAGTATACACAGGGCTGGGTGATAAATCAACTTACTTAGATTCAAAATTGTTTTTGCACAGTATGTCAAATGTCTACACTGTGACAGTCAAGTTGTTACAATGTGCAATGTGTTCTTTTCAGTCTAAAAGTAACATAGCTGACTACATTCACTGTCTCGTACGGCAATCCATTTTTTCTTCCATTTTATCTTCATTCCGTTTTCCCGTGATAATTGGATATCTTGTGATCTCGAGATAACAGCTGTTGTTTTCCCGTGATGACGGAATAATTTTCTCGTGATCTCGAGATAACAAACCATAGCCGAATACAGGGGTCGGCAGGTTTACGATAATTTCAGAGAGCTTATCAGTATCACTGGTTAGCTCAGTTGGTAAAGCACAGGGCTTGCAATTCAAGAGTTGTGTGTTTGACTCCCACTCTCAATGATTTTTTTTCTTCTTTTGTGTGTTTTTGTATTATCCCCTTCTACAAAGTTGTTATGAAGCGATTCAGGGGAATCTCCTCTGCCTGTGATGATGGGGAAATCAAAAAAGTCCGTAGGTTGATGGATGTGGACCAGTCGCCGGGATGCACACAGTCTCTTCATAAGAACTTTGTTTAAGAGGATTATGAAAAAGATTTTTTTTTTTTTAAGTTGGTCTACAATGAGGATCAAACTCACAAACCTGAGATAATGTGTCCTACGCTCTGCCAACTGAGCTGAAATTACCGTCGAGAAACATCCCTGCCAACCCCGTGTTAAACTACTGCGTTGTTCTCTCGAGATCACGAGAAAATTATCCCGTTATCACAAGAAAATGGAAAAAAAAATAGTTGAATGGATGGCCGCTCAGGGCGTCCGTAGGCTTGAGCCCTAACAGTCCCATAAACTGTAGCATGAAAAATCGCAGCATATGCTCCTGGTGCCTCCCGTCTGTCCCCAAGCATCTAGCTTCTCTGGCTATCTCACTGTGAGTCTAGCGATCGCATCTACAGCGGGCACAGACTGGAAAAGGACTCTGCTCACTAATTTGATCCCTTAGTTTGTGTAACTGAACCAGGTTTGGCTATGTGTAAGGAACAAAAGAACTGCACTAAATGCCCTATGTATAGTGTATGTTCAGAAAGTTAACTACTCAGATGATCTTCCACTTTTCTTCCACATTTTCATTTTCATGTTACATGGCATGTAAACATTGTACCTGTAGATGACAACAAGCGCAAGTGCTTGAATACGAATTACAACAAATTAATAGTAAGGGGATCAAAGGTCACAGGAGATGATGGGAGCTCTGATGAAGAATCCAGTACAGCACACGGACACATCAAACAACAGAATAATTTATCATTAGATGACATGTCTTTGAGGCAAGGCTGCACAAAAGAAAATGAAAAATATTATTTAAATATCTTCCCATCAAAAAAAACGATTGTAACTACTTAAAAAGTAAGATAAACAGATGTATTACCTGCCATATCACGTGCCAGAAAAGAACAGAAGTTTAAGGTTTTGCATACAAAAAACACATTTTCTGTATGCAAAACCTGATCTAATACAACCTGTTGCTGCTCAGTGAAACCAGCTGGTGAGTGTTTTTTGCTTTTACTTACAAACTAAATGTTAATTGGACAATGTAATGGCTATGGACTAATGGCATCATCAGCGTTTAGATTGGTTCCCTATAAGCATCACTTTCACTATATAATCCTGTCTGCCACCACCGACGAGCTCCTGGGGGAAATGATAGCTCTATTTATGGCACAAAGGAAGTGCATCAACCATTTTGCAACCAAAAGAAGAAGAGGATAGCGCTTTTGTTTGCCCTGGTAGCTATTGGTAACCATCCACAGGTAGAGGAAATGCCAGTGTGGCATAACCGCAGTAACTGAGGAAACTGTTGGCATTCTTTCTACTAGATCAATAAGTAACAAAACCTACGGGGTGTTTTACTCATAGCATTTTCTTATTCCAAAGTGGTGGTGTTAGTTTCTTCATGGAAATTTGGAAACAAATGCTGTGTGTCCAGTTTTGAAAGGTAGTTGCTAGGCTCTGAGGAAAACACATAGCGAGGTAGAGATAGGTTGTCTTTGCGACAACAGCGACAACAATAACACCTCTTGGAAAGCAAGGGGAGGAAAGTTGAACAGTCTGTAAATCAATTTCAGTTCCTCTAACTGACAAACTATGGTAACCTACTGTGTCATGATATGCAAATTCCTAAATAAAAAATGTATATAAATATAAATTATAATAGCAAACAAATGAAAAGAGGAAAACAGTTAAAGTCTGAGAGGATAACATTGTTTACCTCGATTATATTAACACACCTTCACATCCTTCACATTCCTTTCCTAGTCGATGCATTTGTCACTTTTTCATTTTGTCTTGGCAGTTCATTCTCTTCCTGCCCATATCGTATGCTCAATGGAAGAAATGTTCACCTGCGCCACTTTGTCTTTGTTTGTGCTACTAAATCATTCATTATTCAATACTTATTTTTACACACACAGGCTTTTGTCTACTACCAGGCTATTATCAGCTCATTTGTTCTAATGAATAATGAAAAAGTAAATGAAGGAAGAGGGCTGTAACTTCTATACAATCCAAACCACATAACTGGAACTGACCACCATTAAATACATTATCTAAATGTGTGTGGCATTCGATTTTCAAACCACATTATCAGTTGTTGCAATGTACTAAACAAGCTGGGTGTTACCCCGCCCTTTCACTTGAGAACTACCAAGCTAATGTTAGCGACGTGTCTGAATGTGAAGTAAGATTCTGTAGAACCAGTTATATGTTGGAAATGTAGTTAAATAAAGGTTAGAACCTACAACAACTTTAACTTTTCAACCAAATGTAGTCCAGTTTTAACAGAATGCTAGACATATTTTCTGTTCTGTGCTGTTCTCAGCTGCTCCGACAACAAACTGACACTTTGGGAAAAAATGGAAAGCTTTAAATCACATTCTGAATGGTTCTTCTGATGGATCTATTTGGTTGCTGTTATCTTGGTCTTTTACAAAAAGCTTACCTTATCTTTGAAGTAAAAATATTAAAAGTTTTTTTTTTATTTTTTCCAAAGCATGTGTGCCACAATTATTGGCACCCCTTTGAAAATCCTATATTAAATCTAACTGAAGTGTATTTCCAGTCATATTTTACATTTAGAAGTCCACCTGTTTGATTAGGAACTCTTAAGTGCCATAACTTAACCATGACTTCCTGTTTCGCTGGTGTATAAATATGTGACACAGGCCAGATTCTCTTGGTCATTCATCACTGTGGGAAAGACCCGAGAACACAGTGATGATGTGCGACAAAAAGTTGTTGAGCTGCACATATTGGGACATGGATAAAATCTCTGAACAGTGATGTTAAGAGTCGGCCTGGAAGAGGACATGTGTGTACACACTGACCCTAAGCAGCGTGACAAGGATGGTTCGACTGGCAAAAGAAAGGTGAGCTCAGAAAGTCTCCAAAATGACCATCAGACGCCACTTACATCACCATAAATTGTTTGGGAGGGTTGCTTTCAATAGGACCAGATTATACGAGGCCAAAATAGATCTATTTGGGAACATCAAAGGTGGGTTTGGTGTGAAAAAAGCCATCCAGAAAACCACCTTATACCCACTGTGATGTAGTGGTGATGTTGTGGGTTGTGTTTTTCTTCTGAAGGCCCTGGATATGTTGTTAGGATACATGCAGGTGCGCAGCTGATGGCTCATTGCAGAGGGGGTAAGGACCTCCTAGAGGGCTCTTATACAATGGGCACTTGTGTTACAATTTTATTTTTACGAAAAATAGAGAGGGAAACAGAATACAGGCTGCCGGCTGCTTTCACATCAGTGGTTCGGTTGATTTGGTCCGTAACTGGAGAGAATCGTGGGCCTGGGGCAGCTGCACCCTCTGCCCACCTGCTTGCGCCGATACAGGATACAATGCATAATGGATTACCAGCAGATCTTAATTGAAAACCTAACAGCCTGTGCCAGAAAGCTTTAAATGGACCGCGGTTGGACCAGTTGTATGTTGAAAATATAGCAAAATAGCAGTGAGCCAAAGCACACCTCAAAATCTACATAAAAATGGTTCACCACCATCAAGTAGTGATGCACGATATTGGCTTTTTTTCCCACTGATCCGATAACCGATTGCCTACAACTCATGAACGATACCGATCTGGTAACCGATAAATTCTTCACATTTTTGTAAGTAATAAAGAAGTTTTAGTACTTTGGGGATAACATCTGCTGAAGTGTCTGTAGCAGAGCTAATATCTCCAGTCAGTAGTCTAGTCTACTCAATAAGTAAAGTTAAGATACTGCTATTGAGTCTAGCGCGATCTATAATGTAAAGTTAAGTGTCGAGAGACAAGTCATGCAATTTAAATGAAATCAGATTTAACTTGAAATGTGATGAATAATAAAAAAAAAAAGACGGTAAAGTGAAGGTAACAGGTGCATTTGAGATGACTTTCGCCGACTCTGTAGTCTAACATGAGCTGCAGGTGACTGCAGGGGCGGGGTATAAAAACAGCAGTGTCAAGCGCATGTAAGCGCAAGCCAATAATTTATCAGATCGATAATTATCGTGCATCCCTAGAATCAAGCGGTATCCATCACATTGATAATGACCCTACAGAGGTTAAATAGCTCTTAGATGAGAGGCAAAATAAATGTCTTCAAGTATCTTTAACCAAGTCTGGTTGCCCTTGATTTTAAACTGCCTTGGATAACTTTGGCCTGACCTCGTGCTGCTGTTTTACTGCATTCAAACAAAAAGCATAGTTTGTATGATTTGAGGATGGATTTGGTGCACTAGACACCGAAGTATGAACATGGTGTGAGCGTGTGTGTGGATGTGTGTGTGTGGATGTGTGTGTGTGCATGTGTGTGTGCGCACTGACCATGGAGTCTTCGTCAGCGATGAAGACGGTACAGGCCTGGGCCTGCATGAAGGACAGGATGGTTCCTGCGATCTTCCTCAGTAAAACCTCCAGACACTGCTGCTCCTCAAAGATCAGACTGGCCAGGTCCAACAGCACCTGCTCACACACACATTCACACACAGGAGAAAACATCATGATCAGAGTTGTGTCTATCTACCTACCTACCTTTAGAAACACACATTCACACCCACCTGATTGCGTCTGTTTTCCAGCTGCGATGTCTCATAGAGCTGAGCGTTGTGCAGGACAATGCCAGAAAAGGCCAAGTAGGCTGAGAAGTCCTGTTGGAGGGGAACAGAACAAGATCTGAATGGTAAGGAAGGAACTACAGGAAACAAGACCAGACTGTTTCATGGAAAAGACATACATCAACGATGAAGGAGCAGAAGTACAAAGGAAGATGACAGATGATATGAGGAAGGACACATATGTAGAGAAAGGTGGACAGAGTTACGGAGGTTTTATATGCAGTGAATCTGGGGGCTCAGAACAGGTAAGGTTATGCTCCTGCTAGCAGATGTAAGGCAGCCTGTCTGACACCACAGTCAAGAGCAACATGCAGTATCTTGCCAGTGACATGTTTTGAAAAAAGTCTCTGAATCTGGACACATTAATACATTGTAGTGAAAGTGAACCAGTGAACTTTACTGACCTTTTCATCCTGGTCAGTGAAGGCACCGTCCTCCCCACATTTTTTATTGATAGCCTGAGCCACTCCGACTACCTGCGATGGATAGGATGGATAAAAAAAACAGAGAAAGGATTTGTTCCTGTACATAGATCTAAGAAAAATAATTGCAATGAAAATAATAATTGGAGCCTAACTTGTTTTGACTATTTTGAAAATCAGTGCTGCAGAAAAAAACATTCAAAGTCAAGTTGTGCCAGCGTCTTTGTGTTTCTCATTGGAAAATAGAACAAAGTCAAATACAGCTCTGTTGATTTATTTTAAAGCTATACGCAATGTGTGTGTGAATGAAAATATTGAGAATAGGACTTTTTATAACATCTTTGAAATGATGCACGAGATTGTTGATATGTTTTCTAATCAACTTTCTCAAGCCAGAAATCCTGTCAACATGAAATGTGGCTGTCAAAGAGGTTAGAATTGATAAATCTATTTATTTTAAAAGGATATTGATTTTAAGACTCCACAGAGACTAACTGTAAACTGGATAAGAACGTCAGCTATGTGTCTAAATGGTTCAAGGGCACTTGCAGTACAACATTATGGGAAATATGGTCTTTAGCTGTTGACATATGCCTTCAACTGTTCATGCTCAGTACAGAGAGAGGTCCAGAAGAAGCGATATCGATCTTTTAGTCTAAGGTTGAGATAGAAAACAAGAATATCTCCTAAAATGCCAGTATATTTCTTTAAATTATTTTTAAATAATCCTGATTACAAACAATAGTACAGTATAAATAACTTGTGTAGATGGCTCCTCGCAAACCAAAAAAGTATAATAATCAAAACATGTAACAGACCATTTAGTTAAAAAGATAACTCAAGGTTCACTTACTAGCTTTTTTTGGCACTTTTGGCTGCACCTTATGGTCTTTCTCAATGGATTGGAGTTTTCTCAGTTGTCATGGAGATTGCGCGGTTGTCATCACATGAAGTTATACTGTTATACTTACATATCAAACATACATGATGACAACTGAGCCCTGTCCATCACAACTGAGCAAACTCCATCTGGTGAAGAACACCATGAGGTGAATGGACATTGAGTTACTTTTTTTTTCTCAAAAAAAAAAAAGTAGTACAGATGCTATCGTACCCTGTAAAGCACACTGAACTGCCCTGGCGTATGAATTGTGCTATAGGCCTACAAATAAAGTTGCCTTGCCATTAGCCTTCCCTTGGCTGCTAAAATCTAATTGGGCTTGACAAATGAAAAACTAGATAAACAACTATGCATCTTGTTTATGGATATCTTCTATTACAGCAGATCAAACACAAACTTTAACAAAACACAAACAAAAAGATTAAACACAAACTGCACTGTTTGCAGTATGTTCCAATTTGTCTTGTCTTACCTCGTCTCTGTGGTTCTTGATGGGAAGGCAAAGGATACTCTGGGTTTTGTAACCTGTGATCAAGTCCACCTCAGCATTGAATCTGGGATCCTGGGGAGGTAAAGCATATGTCCAGAATTCAATCCCACAGACCTAAATTTGGGGATTTTCGGCTTTTAACAATCATATACTATTTTTTTTGTCCTTTCAAATCAAAACCAAAAGCAGAAATGCAAGAAAAAAGATTAAACAGTGTTTTGTTTTGGTATGTCATGTCAGGCTAACATGCTAGCATTACTTTAAAGGCCAGAAGTTAGCACTAATGATGTTAGTTTGTAGAGTAACAAGTTATGTTAAAAAAGATGCATGACCACCAAGTAGAATTTTTTGTTTGAATGTTGGTGGGTCTGTCCTGCTGGGACATGTAGCTTTAGCATGATATCATGTATGTAGATACCAAGTGCATATTTAAACAACAGAGTGTGTTTTATAATAAGTCATGTAGCTAATGTTAGCTTAATTAGCTAGCTTGCTACATGTGACAAAATCTGTCAGCAAAAGTTGTCATTACAGCTGACAACCATTTGGCTGGAAATGCTCAAATTTCGAGTGGCAAATCTTCCAGCATTAACAAGATGTAAACTGCCTAGTCCATGTGCCATCAGCTTAACAGGTGTAGCAACACAAAACAAGGGGAGAGAGGTTTAGCGAACAGTCAATTAAGAGCGGCATTTGAAAAAGTCTCAGTCATCAGCAGCTTCAGTCCAGATCTCATCCGTATTCAAAGCCTCATGAATCCTGCCAAATGGTTCAAACAGCTCCACTTGCATAAAGAAACAGATATACTATAGTAGCTGCATGCATGCAGCAGCCCCATTTCGCCAAAATGGTAGGATCCTTATTGTCAGAATTATGTAACACAAAATTCTTCTCCCAAAAAAACATTTACATAGTTTTTTGTTAGTACTTGCCATCAATCACAAGGAGGCAAAAACCTTCTCTGGTATGTAAATATGGAATTTGAGGGAGAGAGAGAGAAGTGGCTTCTGAAGGCATGCTCAGGGCGGGTGGATGCAAAGATGTTTAGAGGACTATTCTCCTGTTTGCAACCGACCTTTAAACACCCGGCTTCTCTCTGTCCATTATCTCTATCCTCCAAACTCAAGGGGCCTGTGTGTGTATGTGAATATAAACCCAGAGGAAAAATCTTTTGCTCAGAATAGTCTTTTCTTTAACTCTTGAGAAAACACTAAGATCTCAATAGTATATCTTTCTGAGATCACTCCACTCTTAATTGTTGCTCCTAAAACCCCTTTGGAGAAAAGGATGAGGTGAAGTGAGATTGAGGTTTTGAGACTTGGGTTAGACAAGTTGATACTGAATTGAGATTATAATAGGATAAATGAAAGTAACAGATGAGATCTCATCATTGTATCTTTTTGAGTTCATTAATGTCTTGCTTATTGCTCCTAAAAAGCAGTTGGGAACTCTGGGGAGATGTTTGTATTACATTACTGTCCATGCTTGGAGAACTGTGCTAGAGGCCAGTGAAGGACTTATTGTCTTTAAGTAGAGTACAATTTTCCTTTACTTAAAAGAGGATAAATACCATACCCACAATTCATAGTGAAACATAGTGAATGTACTTAAGTATCAAATGTAAAAGTGCTCATTCTGTATGACTTGTCGTGTATCAGTTCTTGCGTGCATTCGGTCCTTAATGAATTAATCTCTAAACATCATATCAAAGTATTGGGTGTTCCAGTTATGCTAGCTATGACTACCTTAACAAAAAATTGGAAAACATTTGAAAGTGCATTATTTTCAATGTCAAAATTTAGTATATTTTTCTCAGTAACTTGTAACAGATAATTAACAATAAATACAATAAGGATTTAAAATTAAGGGCAGTAAAAGTTCAAACCCCCATAAAAAGAAAATACTCAACCTCAACATTTGACGTAAGTAAGCTTTTTTTCTGATCCACATTCTGGAGGCTGAAATTACACTTATTTAAGATACTGTAGAGATCTCATCTTTTGATCAGAGTAAGTGTATTATAACTTCTGCCAAAAAGCAAAAGTCAGAGTAGCGCAGTCGTGAGTATGACCGTTGTTATAGTGATGGAATTAGTGCAGTGGAAATGTACAATACACTTAATTTATCTTGCAAAACAATGGGCCTCATTCATGAAAGGTTCCTATAGGCTACACAGGTTTAACTTGTGCAAATGTATAATGTTGGAAAAATAGCAATATTCCCAAAAAAAGTAAATATATAAAATTAACTAATAGTTGGTATAATTCTCTTCTCTTCTAGAGTTTTTAGCTAAAATGCCCTTATATCACGTAGCCTACGTCTAATGACCAAAACACTGCCTCACTCCAGAGCAAGAAACACTGTCTGCCCACACACTTTACATACACAGTATTCTTGTGTGGCAGGATGAAAATAAAACTCAGTGAGTGATAGATAAGTCCCGCCGCTGAAATCAATGTAATCCTGAGCGGACTAATGGGAAGGTAAAGATCTAGTCAGAGAGCTGGGGAGTCCCTCGGATGACGCAGATGGACTTCCTGGAAGTATCGGGTTCTGCAGTAGTGCACACACATACACACTTGCACACATTCTGCCTGCACAATATACACTCAGATAATCTAGAGTAACAGTGTGCATTAACTCAGCCAGTTAGTGCACAGCATGATACTCAAACTTATACACACACTAATATTGATTTACACACACACACACACACACAGAAACAAGGTGAGTCATTGCAGAACACAAACACACTCTCCCACACAAAACAAAAACGAGTAGTAAACACAAACACATACACACATGTGTAGACACACACACAAAACCACACTTAAACCCTCAAGGGCAGTCAGTCGGAAAGTGCACACTCACACGCTCACACACTCACACACACAGCAAGCTAATTAGACACAGGTGGACACTCCCATCAGCCTCTCTTTTCTCGCCTTGTCTGCTCTCACGCATCGCTCACTCCTAGTCACATCATCATCATCATCATCATCTTGTGGTTGGCAGGCAACCAGAGGAAGGCACACAGCAGGGAATCTCTCTCTCTCTCTCTGTCTCTCTCTCTCACACACACACATACACATAGCTAATGATGTCAGACGCTGATGATGCTGTTCTGTGGTCCCTGATGCGTGAATGAAGGGTCTATTTTTTTGTGACATGTGGCACACAGATGCACATGGATCAGCAGCACAAGGCACGGAACTGAAGGAGTACTACTGTCCATCCTCAGGGGCATGGGAGAGTTGAAGGGGGTGAAAGTGTGTGAGGTGAAAGGGACAGGTGCATGCTGGTGTTCTGGAGTGGCATGATATACATTTTTCTGAGATTTAGTGTGACTTGCACATCTCTGACGGTCACTGCTAATAAATTACATTACAAATACAATTAGAAAAAAGACAAAAGCTGCTTATAACTGCAGAACTTGACTGAGTGCGATCAGGTTTTTAACTTTCCTTTGATATCAAAGTAATCCAGTGATCTTTGTCTGTGCGTTAGGGATGGGTCACAACTTTTGAATTTTGAATAGTCATAAAATTAAGATTAAAGATTGAATAGTTTGTGCAACTATTGTATAGTATTTTTGCTTGAAATGCCGAGTCCTACTGTACATCCATGGGTCTGCACATCCTCACCAGGAAAATGGCCCTATAGCTTGATTATTACATAATTTATTATGATCCGAGTTTATGGATCAAGTAAGCTAAGAACTTCTACTCAGGAGACCGAGGTTCGAGTCCTGTGTATCTAATAAAGTGGAACAAGACATGTTTTTAATTAATTATCGTGCTGTACTTGTCAACGCTCTTACGTGTCATTTTGGGGAACGGTCTTAAGTGTCGTTGTACTTTCCAAAAGACATACTGTAAATGTCTTGGTATGAGGACATGTTGCATGGATACACTGCAAACAGGAGCTGCTAATAGCTAATTCACATTCATTAATCTAAACAAATAGGCTAAAAATGTTGATTTAGCTGTAAACCATAGTGTAACTGACTGAATTCATGGCAACATTAACCTTCCTGCTCACCAGGAGGGTAGCTGGCATTGGGTGGCGCAGTTGTTTCGATTTTGTTGACCCACAGTGTCAAGACTCTAAAAACCCCTGATGTAAAGGCCATATATCTCCAACATGATCAAAACCACAAGGTTTCATGTTATAACAGGAAATGTTTCTTGCCTTAACGAGATATGTTTGTATAGTATGCACAATAGAAACATAACTAAAATATAATATAGTAAGAAAACGTTCTTGTCAAAATGGAATCATTAAATATGTGGAAAATATGTCTTTAGAATTATGTAATTATAAAAAGGATTTTTATAAATACAAAAACTTCAAACCAGTCATTGTCAATCTGTATAGTCGACTTAAATGTAGATCAATGTCCTCTCTTGTGACCGAAAATTTGTCCTACTACAGCATACCACCCTATCATATCATAACAAGAAAAGTTTCTTGTTAGTTGTGTATCATGAGAAAGTTATGTACAGAAAAAAAATCTTAAAATGTGTCCAATTTTTGCGATACCCGTCTCTGAGATGTGAGCCTTCACCCCAATACGATGGAGGTGAATAGGAATTTTCATTTAAGGTGGTCACTTCCTTTTAAAACAAAAAAAAATCAATGTACCAGTTTGTCCTCTCCAGCCTAATTCTTACTGATTCACTTCAGCACACTCAAGTTGATGGCTATAGAGAAAAACAGGAAAGAAAATCCAAAACAGCAGTGAGGTAATTCCCTTACCTACTGTTACAGTACAACACAGGGCTTTCAAGGACTTTATGGAAACAGCTGCCAACAGCTTTAAACAACAGGACATTTGATTTTAACCCTATGAATCTATAAGGCTATAGATTATAATTTAAAATTTTTGGCAGTGCTCTGGTGAAAAAAACATAACACTCACACTGAAATTCATTGTGGAGAAAGATAGTTTTGACAGTTTAGATGAGGTCAGTGGGATATGACCACACACAAGACAAGTGCATTTAATCTCAACATACTTGTTGCCTTTCTCTGTTTCTTGTTTCTCTCGACCACTCTCTCCCCCCTCCCTCTCTTCCACCCACACACACATTTCGTGCATATCTGCTCCTTTTTGAAGACACCCATAACTCTTCCAGAGGAGGGTCGCACTAAAGTGTGCAGCCAGAAACACACACTTACACATACAGTACTCCCACAAATTTGCACGCTGGTAGTGATATCACTACATTCTTGTCCTTTCCTTCTCGCAAATACACGTCTTTCACTATCAGATGATCAGTTTTTCATCGTTTAATCAGGGAACAGTGTTTAAAAAACAAATAAGATGAGGCTCAATCTGCAAAGGTCACAAAGCTGAAATCCAATCCGCAGCTAGGGCGAACTTACATATTCAGTTTGTTTTTATGTACTAACTGCATTTACATGCTGATTGTATCGACAGCTCTTTCTAGTTTGTCCCTCATTCAACCTTTCACACACACCGATGGTGGCAAGCTACCGTCCAAGGCCCTGGCCAAACCATTGTGAGCAATGGGCTTCACTGTGTTGCTCTAGGAAATATTGTCGTCTAATTGTCTAATTATTATTAATCATCAATACATCATTTGAAAATTTAGCATCAATGGCATTTTCTTCAAACCAGAGAGAATCTTTTACTTAGGTTTTGTTCTTCGACTTATTTAAATTTTTATCAACCTTCATTTAAGGAATAATTCAACCTTTTGGGAAACAGACTTATTTGCTTTCTTTCTAATAGTGAGGTGAGAACACTGATGTTGATCTTTTGTCTGTGTAAAGTTCAGAGCTGGAATGAGGGTGTGGTTCGCCTAGCTTAGCATAAAGACTGGAAGCAGGGGGAAAGAGCGAGCCTGGTTCCGTCCAAAGTTGAAAAATACGCCTACCAACACCCCTGAAGCTCATTGATGCAAATGTTGTATCTTGTTTGTTTAAAATATACATAAAAGAAATGTAATTTTTTTGGTTTTAGGGGAGTAATGTGCTGGAACTATTTCCTGGCCAACAACAGTTCATCCTTCACCAAGAAATAATAATGGCATGTAACTCTCCACAAAAGATGAGTATAAACCATACCATTGGTAACAGATTTCAAAGTCAGGTTGGTTTGATCAATGACAGTGAGTGAAGTGGCAGTGAGGGACATTCTGTTGAAACCTGATCACTCAGAAAGTCAGAACCCTGAAACTGTCTGGGGTCAAAATGTCACCAGACACTCTGCAGCTACTGAGTGAAAGAGAAGAATTGTGAAGAGTGTGTGTGTGTGTGTGTGTGTGTGTGTGTGTGTGTGTGTGTGTGTGTGTGTGTGTGTGTGTGTATGTGTGGTGAAGATGAACCCTCCAGAGGAGCGCTTTGACCTATTTGCCCATCTTTGATGCCCCCTCTCCCCCCTCAAGTCTGTGCTGTGTCAGCAAAAACCCATCACATGTACCCAAAGCAAACACACGCCTGTTTCAGCACACCAGCATTAACGCTGACCCCTGTAATGTCAAATAAAATGAGACAAAACCTTGTGATTTTCTCACCTCGTAAGCGTTCTTGATATTTAGCGGCTGTCCTGTGGCGGCTACATGACCCACAATGCCCTTGTTCCACTCCAGCCGGATGCAGCTACTGGAGGACTCCTCCAGTGTGGATCCCTCGGCTACGTCGAACAGGCGGCTGACCAAGAACTTCCTGTTGGAGCTGTCCTCGCCCACCTGGGACCACACACACACACAAGCACAGAAAGCAGGATGTGGTCACACGACTGATTCAAAACAGGAAAATAGATGGTTTAGGGAAAGTTACATGTTATGAGGATTTGTTCAAGGTTTTCTTTGTGCAACGGACAGAAGTAATATAAATTAGATGATCATCCATCCATCCATCATCAATCCTGCGTACAGGGTCGCGGGGAAGTAGATGATCAATAGTTTTATATTAACAATGGCTCAAATAATTACAGTATGTTTGGTGAGAAAGGTGTCTTTTGTTACTTTTCAATCATTGTGTTGGTTTTCTGACATACTATCTCTCTCATCATCTTCAGTTGCAGTAGCAGCTGTCAGCTGTTTTAAGCAAACAGTTTGGAAGCCACATAATGGAGAAGGGCACCATATGAAAATTAAACTGAAGTCATATGCAGCATTTAAAATACAGAATTTGTGAATAAACATACTGTAAGTCTGAGACTGTAAGAGAAAATAATTTAAAGCTGCAATAATCAGTCATTTTATATAAACGAAGGCATGTTTGAAGTTTAACTAAGTGATTGGTTTCATCTGGCTGGTCCAATAGATAGAATTGGGTATCATCAGCATAAAAATGAAATCTTATGGAGTGTTTCCTGATAATACTGTCAAAAGAAAGTGTATGTAAGGTGAAAAAGACTGGTTCAAGCACAGAACCATGTGCAACTCAGTGACTATTTAAGGTCTGCATATGTGCCACAAATTCAGGTAACTTTGCCATGCTGGCGTTACAATTGACCTATCTTGCAATTTTAACAAAAGTGAAAAATAATTTGTTTATCCACCCCATGATTCAGATCACTTTTTCCCCAATCCTGCTGACAGACAATCAAACAAACAAATGGCACTGAAAACATAACCCCTTTGGTGGAGTCAAGTAAGCTATAGAAAGGCAGAAGACTGGCACTAACACAACAAACTAACACTTCAATTTGTCTGAAAAACTATTTTATAAAAGTAGTAAACAATAGTTATAAATAACTGGAGCTTTTTCATTCAGCAGTTTGAGCGAGAGCTGAGATGTAAGAATGTTGGTGGTTTTAAGATGTTAAACCTGCACCCAGATATACTGTAGAGGTCTATGTATCACTTCTTCTTGCTCTGACTGGTGACAGTGCTCACGTTTAACCAGTTAGAATAATAGTTTGTCACGCAGCTCTTTCGTACCAGGAACAGTGAGTAGCGGTCTGCGGCAATCAGCTCGTTAATGTGGAGGAAGATCTTGTGGCAGAGTGCTGTCACATCCAGATGACTTGACACGTCCTTAACCAGCTCCAGCAGCCTGGCGCAACGGTCACCCCCACTGCCACTTCCTGCCCCGCTGTATCCACCTCCATTACCGACACCACCCTCACCCATCAGAGAGCCCCGAAGAGAGACAGTCCCGGGGTCTGCGTCGCTCAGAAATGTCAGAGAGCCCTCAGAGTCTTTAACCACGATGGGTCTGAGTGGGCGGTCGAACTCTGACGCTGAGATTTTGCGTGTCGGGGTGCCGGGGGCCGGGCTGGGGACAGTGGCTGGGGACGGGCAGCGGTTGTCCAGGAGGCTGAGGGTGGGTGGGAGGATTGTGGTGGAAGAAGGGAGACCGGGGTCTGTGGAGGACTGGTGGGCCCGGTGCTGTGAAGGATTTTCTTTGGAGGCAGATGGCTGGATGGAGTGAACTCGCTCAGCAAACCAGGAATTCACCATCTCCCTATCAAAAGAAAGAACTGCATCAGATACACAGCTGTACAGACACACTATCTTCTGTCACAGTATGACAGTTACAGATTTACTCTAGGTTAGTGTCAGGAAAGATAAAAGAGAGCTCATATTGACCGAATGAGTAAATATACATGACAACCCACTGGTTGGTGGAAGACAATGATCAGAGTTATGTTACTAATCAACCCCCGAAATCCCACAAGAACACAAATTCTCATCTGTTCCTTCACCACAACAAAAACAGACATCTATCAAAAACAGTTTGCCATTTAAAGGCTCTGTCAAGGCAAAGACAGAGGAAAAATGCCAAATTAAGATGAGATGGTGGATGGAACAACGTGGGCAACAAGGACAGTAAACTCTGTAGAGAGAGCAGGATGTGAATCACCTTCATAAGAGTGAGGATTATGAAATAAGTGGTGCTACCATTTGCTTGGCATTTTCAGACATTAAAAAAATATATATTATTTTTCCAGCTCACACACTTGATGGTCTTGATTCCAGTAAAAACGTCACATGCTTACAATAAATCTTCATGACAATGACAGGCTGCAACTGGTTCCAACAGCAAACAATTGCAATAGTTAAATCTTGTTTGTACCCAACCAAAACCAACCAAGAGGTGGTGTTTCTAGAGAAGGCTGTTTCCATTCTAACAACACCTCTAATGGCTACCTTAGGATTTCTTGTTGTCTGGAAGGTTTCAGTGCAATTGTGGTTTGAAACACAAGTTTTATTGAGGTCAAATCAGGTTTTTACATAAGACCATGTGACCTGCAGAACAGCTGTCGCTGTGGCTTCAAGTGGCAACGGCAGGATAATAGCAAAATAAATTTCCATTCATTTTTATTTATTAAGATTCTATTAAGTAAGTTGCTTAAAAGGCGCAGTCATCAATATTTCAATATTTACAATGGATCAAATGACTATGATGTGAAAGGTGTAACTCATGGAGTCAAACCAACAGATAATTATCACCCAACTCTGCAGTTTCCCTTCAGTTCTAAGGAGTTTTGTTACGTGTCTTTCTGCTCTGTGTTTCGGTTTTACAGCTCATAGCTTTACTGTAGTGGTTCACTCACCGCTGTCATCAACCTTGTTTTCAGGAGAAACATGCAGCTATTTAAACTAATAAAGCCACTGTACACAGCAGACAGACAAAGTTAGGTACAGTGAAGGAAAAGGGAATATTGGACTTTCATCAGGTGGACACAAACACAACTCCAAATGAATGCTAATGTTGCTCTACAACGGTGGCATATGTAATAAGGCAACTGTTTGCTAACATGTCCAAATCAACAACATATAAGGTGATAATATGTCAATATTACACTAGGCCAAAAGCAGGACACGAAAAAATACATTTCTCCTCTTGTTTGTATTAAAACCACTAAAATGTTTTCTGTGTCATGCTAACACAAAGCAGAAGTGTAACTGAAAAAAGAGAAATAATGTCATCAATCTTTTGTTTGTTTGTTGTCGTACACACTATGCCTTGCTACTGCTGTAACACTGAGAATTTCCCTGTTGTGGGATTAATAAAGGAATTTTAAATGAAATAGTAACTCAGTTATGTCAGTCACACAACAATATCTATGTAAAGTTTGCTAACATTAGCCACCATAAGCTAATGGTCATACCAGACCAAGTAAGGCTGTAGGAGCAAAACCCTCAAGTGCACTGAATTGATTTTATTGCTTATGAATTTTGCATTTTTAAGACAAAGAATTTGCTAGTGTGGCTTCACATGTAGCGTGGGGCCAAAGATATACCCAATGTTATAAAAGTAAAACAATTAACTTCAGGTTTAGAGAACTTCCTAACGATTACCACTAAATTATTTGCTAAAAATTCTAACTTTACAAGTAAAAGCTTGTCACGAGCTGGAACACGAGCCCTCTCCCATCCACCACTTTGTAGTCAAGTCTTCTCCAAATAATCCTTTCCTGATGGGGAAACAGATTTTTCCTTTGCCTCACTTTTTAGGCACATTATATGCATCTCAAAACATTTTACAAAATTGCAAGAGCAAGCTAAAATTAAACTTTGTGCCAGTGACAGCTCTTAGCAGTAATAACAGTAACAAAACAGCAAACGTGGGCACTGATTCAAACTGACTGACTATTTCATAACTGGAGCGTGTTTAAGAGAAATGTAAAAGTGAAATCATTTCTGTAGATGTAATGTTAATGATTGTGGGTAATAAAAGTGAATGCAGGCAAAGTGTATATTATGAGGATATGTGCTGTAACAAATGTAGTGTGTGTGTGTGTGTGTGTTTGTGTGTTTGTGTGTTTGTGTGTGTGTGTGTGTGTGTGTGTATGTGTATGTGTGTGTGTGTCAGACAGTCTGTATGTTTGTGTGTGAACAGTAAATTGGATGCGATCACGGAGAAGCCCTTGAATCAGCAAACACGTCGTCTAATCAAAAACTCCTGCAACATGAACACGCACACGCATGCTCTTATCTGCTTCGGCTCTTGTTTTCAAACATGCTGAAGGTCATGTGACTCATTCTGATGTTTTTTACGTCAGTCAAAGGATCTGTTCACCTGAGAGGAAGGCCAACACAGAGGCGCTGGCTATGAAATTAACCACGGTATCTTGGGCTCCACACCAGGCAAATAAAACTTGGAGAGCCACAGAGAATGGGCTCTTATCTGACTGCAGTGTGTTAGAGCCAGTCAGGTTGAGTTCTCCTTACTCCATCTCCCATTGAGCTGCCTGCTTCCCCACAGTGCTGACCCTAATGTATCCAGTGGAGGTGTGGCTGAATCAATACCGCTCTAAGAAATGCTTCTCAACCAGAATGGCAGAAAGGCTGATGTGCGCAAACCTCTTGGCCGAGCCAATCAACTTTTTTTTGCTTTCGTAATGCGGTCAAAAGCAGCAGGGGAGGGAAAAATATGTCCCCTGACAATGCGTTTTGTGGAAAATATTTTGAGATGATGATGGGAATGAGATCTTGTTTGTTGCAGTTATTGTATAAAAGCTAAGTTGCCATAGTGGTTGAAGTGGACAAATGGCTCTGAAGGGGTTTTTCACTAAAACAAACACAGACCTAAAGTGTCCTGATGAAGTGCGGCCATGTTGATGAAATGCCCAGATAAACCTGCTGCAAAAAATGCCTTATATAGCTGCTACTGCCAGAGAAAGACCGATTTGGAATCTATGTTTGCATAAGAAGTTAGATGGCTAAGTTGCTCAGAGCCACACACACAAGGAGGCTGCAACAGAAAAACAAAACATCATTTCATTTAAGGCACAGGCACCTCTATGTGGAAGGCTTGTATGATTATCACCAAAGGCCCAGTTGACTGTGTGCACTGACAATTAAACAGAATTGGCAGTAAAAGTTAATGATTAAAGTGCCCTGAGCAATTCTCAGAGCTGTTACTGATTGTGAAGTGGATGGCGAAATGAAATGGAGCTGAGATGTGAGAGCAACTTGCAGTGTGAATCAGCTGTGCAGGTAAACTACCTGAGCAGGGTCACAAGGTTTCCACTTCTACTGGAGAGGATGCTACTGTTCGATGTGATCAGTGCAGGTTATACAGCCAGAGAGGTGAAGTGATAATAAAAACAATCAAAACTGACAGAGGGAATTCAAGTGTTCCTGACTGAGTGTGGTGCTGCACACCAGAGCAAACTTCCCTCTGGATACTGCACTCCCATTCATCAGGCTGCACATAAATAAAGAAAATCAGGTTAAATGTCTCTCCCACTACGTCCGCTTTTACCTTGACGCCTTCCTGATAAAGTAGGAGTGGGTGAACTCCAAGTGGTCGTCCAGCCACGCTTCCATCCTCTCGCTGTCCGGGGAACAGCAGTCCTCCATGGCGAAAAGGCGACAACAGTCTCCCACTGTGAGCTCCGGTTACGGGCTACATCTATACACAGAAAACCCGGTAGCGAATAACGTCCACGGAGAGAGACAGAGAGAGCGCTGCTCAAAGACGGGGCTGCTCAGGGGCCGGTCGGTCGGTGCGCGCGGAAAGCGGTGACTGCGCGCTTCCTAGTTGGTGAAGCGACTATTGCAGGTTTGGAGAGAGAGAGAGAGAGAGAGAGAGAGAGAGAGAGAGAGAGAGAGCAGCTCCACGCCACGATGAAGAACGCTACAAATAAGCCCTCAACAAAAACCATAGAGACAACATACACAGCTTGGTTCCTAAGATTTTTAATACAGCCTATTGGACACTATAGACAAACGGTCCATATGGGAACATAGCCTGGAGACTGGGGGGAAAATGAAACGTCCCAATATGTGGTATTTAAAATGGTTTTGTTTTTTCAATTCAATGTACTTTATTGTAATGACTTATAAATACCAAAGCATATTTAGAAAAAAAAAGAATTTAAACAAAAAAAGCTATTATGCTTATGGCTCAATCCAGACTGGTTATATAATCAAACAATTTTTGCGAACATTAAAGGATCACTCCAGTCATTTAGTATTGCACTTTCATATATCCTGTTATAGCCTGGATGTACAAGAGACAGATTGAAAAAGGAATGGTTAAGATCAACACAGCAGAAACCAGATGCCCTGACCTTAAGTCCATGTCATGCTCCAAAAATAATGGGTATTACATTACCCATAATGCTATAGTGTATTTAGTTTGACTCATCCTGCCTGGTAATAATCTAAATTAGATTAGATTCTACTTCATTGTCCACCTTAGTGGAAATTTGTCTTTGATTTCTCCAAAAGATAGAATCCCACCACAGCTATCATTATCACAGCGTTAAGAATGCAAAACAATTAAGAATACCACACAGCACCAGTAGTTTACCACAGTAACAACAATTGTGCCATGAGCAGCAACAGTAGCAGGTGCAAATAAGGTAGGTTGCAGCCTATAAGAAAACACAGTCATTTTGCATTCAGTGCCTCCATGGCAGGGAGAACAAAAGATCTCTTATTTATATGTTTTGGCTTTCCCTCGGGACCCTCTCACACCCACTAAACTAGTGGGTGTGAGAGTCTACAGATATCTGACCACCAAATACCAGAATCCCACCGTCTTTCAAACTCCACTTCCAGAGTTTGTAACGCAGGCTTGGTGTTAACAGGTCCTGGTCTCTGAGCCATGATGACATCACTATGGCAGCCACAGGGCTTACTTACTCTGATTTGACAAAAATAAAAAATAAAGGGTTTTTGGCCAAAACTTGCCAAAGGGGTCCATTAACATCCATAAAAAGGAGCAACGTTTTCACCCCCCCCCCCCCCCCCCCCCCCAACCTGTTCTGCTTGCCGTACAAAGCTTCTCCAGTGTCTCGCCTGGTGCTTTATCTGAAATGAATCATGGCAATGAAGCATGCATCCTGAATGGGACCAAGAAAGTTTGCTTTTTTCTGATGTTTGAGTAAAAGTGAGTGAAATTTATGATACTGCACCACTACACTTCACTAGCGATGACAGAATAGCATGCATTGTGTGTATTTATTAAAGTGAACTAGTGCATGCATGAAATACACATCAATAATAACCTAATTTTATGCATGATCCATAATGATGTAGATACATAAAAATATAAGTGCATGGCTTAAATAACATATTGTCAATATTTTGGAGAGGTTGGGTCCAGTATCACATGCTTAGGGTAAAGTTTTTTTAGTGGCTTAAAAATATACTGACGCATCGTCAAGACCCGTTGGCAGATGTAGGATATTTAACAGAAAAGTCTATTTAAGGAGGTAGCTTGGGTGGACAGTGGGCCAGAATCCAGACTTTCACCCAGGAGATCAGTGTTCCTTTCCCGTGTGAAACAAAAAGTTAACATTTAATGTTTTTATTTAAGTTACAGAGGTTACGTATGTTGCATAAGTTACACAAGTTATTTAACTTACGAAACATAAGTGACATTAATACCTTTATTTTAACCCCAACCCTGATCTTTTCCTAAACCTAACAAAGTAGTTTTGGTGCCTAAACCTAACCAAATTGCAACATTTTTGGATATTAAAGGCCCCTACTAATATACACCAGAGGGTAACTGTAGAGAAGACTTTTACTAAAAATTACTGTTTTAGCTACAACCTGGGTTCGGGTTTGGTTGCAGAACTCTAGTTTAGGGTAAAGCCGGTTTAAGTGAGTGACTTGAGTTTAATTTCTGTCCTCTGTTCCTCTCTACAGTAATCATCTGATGATTATTTTAGCAGCTGCATTTCTTATACAACCATCCCAACAAACTCAAAACTTAAAGGACATGGTTAACCTAGTTTAGCATAAAGAGTTGAAGCATGGAGAAACAGCTACCCTGACTTTACCTGAAGAGTAAAACATCTTCCAATACCTCTACAGATAGAACCTGTTAATAAACTAGCTTTATAGGAGTTGTTGGCCTGTTTCTGAACTTTGTACAGAGCCTAGCTGTTTTCCCCTGTGTCCCATCTTTGAGATAAGCTATCTTTAACATGTCCTAACTCCAGCTACATACTTAATACAGACAACAGAATGGTATCAATCTTTTGTTTTTCCAAAAATGAGAAAATGAAAAGTGGAAAACTATAGGTGAAGGGGTTTAAAATCAGCCCAAGATAGTATAGAATCCCTCTAAAATTACTACTGAGCAACCATGGACACCTGAACCCTGGTGTGGTATTACAGGAAATTAAAGTCCCAACAGAGAACCACACATACTCAGAAGTCTGTATGCAAATATTACAGGATGTTATGCACACATCCCCTGCTGCAAAAAGCATTTTAATAAAAATACCAACCCTTAAGCGTTTCTCTATCCTGATTTATCTTGACTTTTACACCATGATGCATGTTACATTAATTTATCATCTTCAGGGAATAAGCCATGCAAAAGTTTTCATTCATTTTAGATATTTGGTTTATACAATGCTGATTCAGATTGGCTAAAAAGTAGTCCTTTTAACCCCAGTACTGCAGTACTGCAGTAATGAATTCCCTAAAAAGAGGCAGATGGCTCCAATTTCTCACACTCCTGTAGGGAGCAGACACAGACAAAGCAAATATTAACTGTGAGTGGTTTTAGAGACGAGTATATGGAGAAACACTGAATACTTTATTACATTAAAAAAGTCAATCATTGAGATTGAAACACCGGTTGGGATTTAGAGGTGGAGTAAATAGAATATATTGATTTCCTTTGAGAGGGCAAAATCTTCTCAAATCTACAATCATATCATTCGATTCTCTTTTGAACTTGTTCAAACTGTAGACTGTAATTAAGGCGCTAATTCAGAATAAACAATTTATAATAAACCCTAGCAGTAATTAACTTTCCAATTACCCTGTGAATCACATAGCTGGAGGAGCGCAGGCTTTTATTGATGAAGTCTAATGGCTTTCAGCCTGTGTCTGTCCACGCTGTGGTGGTCTCCAGTGTCCTCCCAGCTGGGCACTTGGCCCCCGCCGGTGGTGTTACCTTACCAGCAGATGGTAGCTGGTGATCCCAGGGGGGGAATCCACCCGCAGCATCCCAACCCCCTCCAAGCCTCGCACCAACCCCACAGCACAGCCAATCAGAGACAACCTAGCCTCTAGTCAGTCTAATGGTGAGATGGAGAAGGAGGGGGACACATAAATAGATACATCTTCCCTCTTGTTCTGATCTGTGTACTGTCTTCCTGAGGTTTCTTCCTTTTCCATTATCTCTTCAGTGTGTTTCATCTGTACGTTGTTGGTCCTGTACATTTTATGTCCTGTGTATGTTGGCTATAGCAGCCGTTCTGTTGAAACTCCTGTTTAACGCTGTTGAAGGATGACACCTAACGCCTGTCAATTTTTAGTTTATGTACTTTTTATTGCACCACGCAGCCTCTAATATAAAATACTAAAGACATTCATTTCTTGTGAATATTTCTTTGTATTGTACTTTTCCAGTATGTATGCAGTCCACCCTTAAATAACCAAACAGCTGACAAGATGGATTAGCAGCTTAAATTTGCCAATAGCAACCTCCACTTAAAATGACCAAACAGCCTACAGCCTTGAGGGTGTACTTAAGCATCGTTGCTTTGAGCTAAATGCTAACATAAGCATGTAAGCAAGCTTACAATGAAAATGTTAACATGCTGGTGTTTAGGGCTGTTTACCACAGCTTGCTCACATTTGCTAAGTGGCACTAAACACAAAGTACAGTTGAGGCTGTCCAAAGCTTTCAGTTTTATTAAATAGATTGAGCTGCAGGGGGCGCTACATGGATGGGGGATAACCAAAGTCATTAGGATTCATCTTCTGGGAACCATGAATGTCTAAACCAAACAAATCCATCTAACTAACCTCTTCCAAGCAAAGATCACTTTTCATGTCAAAATAAAAGATCTATCTAATATGCACAGTTGTGCACTGAAGCTACAAACTTGGGTGACAAATACAATGCATTTTTGCACCACTTTTGATTCAACTCTAAGAAAGTAATTGCTGAAAATGAACAAATTAATTTTTTAATTGACTTGGAACTCATAGCTCCAACATCGACAGGTCGGTATTGATCTTCACCAAAGTGGTGGACTGATCGCCAGACTGACCGACAGTGATCCCAGGTATGCTTGTGAGCATGACACTGGAATCATTTATTTCATGTACCTCATAGGTGTGCATCAAACTCAGTTAGTTATTCTGCTTTAGAATGTGAAACCTCCCTCAGGCTCTTTGACATTTTCAGTTCCTTTTCATTTGTTTCTGAGCCAAGCTGGTCACAACTTGTCTGCAGGACCCAGGTTTTCCCTCTGTAACTATGCATCTCCAGCGTTGTCTAAACAATAACCGAAAAGTATAAAAACATATTACAAAAGTACTGTCATAGTAGAACTGTAAAAGTGGTGAATATACAGAATTTGAATTGCATGGTGCTGCACAAAAGCAGAATGCAGCATCTGAAAGGAAACTCCTGTGGTCAGCGCTGACATAGTTGAAGGGCTTTCTCTAACAGACTGGTCAGGGAGCGTGTGCAGTATCTGTACGAGAAAGGGAGTGAATCCAGTAGAGAGAAGTGTTGGTGAGACACATGTTTGTGTGTTGGTA